TAGCACGTACTGCGTTGGGGTTGTTGCCATCTTACCTGCAAAGCACCCTGCAGTGTGAACAGCCTCACTTCCCTGTCCCAGCAGCTGTGCCGCTGCTGCTTGAGTGGATTCTGATGTCCTCTCAAGATACAAGTTTAAACTCATGCTTTGGGGTACCTATTTTCCAATCGTAGCCGTGAAAAAGTGAAAGTTTAAATAGCAAAACCAACCAAAAACATAACCAGGCTCCCAAACAAGGTAAATACCCTTTCCTGCAGAAACAGACTAGAAACCTAGCCTGGTAAGCATTAATTGCCCACATTTCACTGGCCTGTTGAGCTCCACGCTCCAAGCAGGCTGTGTCAGTAGGAAACTTGATTCCTCCAAGATAAGGGCTATAGGGACTAAAGTGATCAGTGGGTTTAGAACTAGATTTAGCTACTTCTTGAAGGTGGGATTAGAGGAGGTCTCTCCGTCTGAGACCAGTCTGCTCTATACAGATTGATGCTTTATAAGGACATTGTGGTCCAAGGGAGGGGAGAAAGCAAGGCCTGGGATGAGCCACTGCTCAGCTTCTCCACCAGGATTTGCACTTGCTGTAACAGAACCATGGGAAAGAACCCTGAATCATCATGGGAAACCTGCTCTGGACTGAGGCCTTGGAAGGCTTAGAGTGAAGCAGCCACAGAACACCATTCATGCTGAAATCCCCCGTGAAGTCTTGGTGAAATCTAACCCCCAGTTGTCATTGTATTAGAAGGTGGAGCCCTCGGGAGAGATGAGGTCATGAGGGTGGCTCTCCTGTGGGTGGGATTAGTGTGCGTATGAGGAGCCTCCAGAGAGAGATTTCACTCCTTCTGCCGTATAGGGACACAGAGAAGTCTGTAGTGGGGCCTTTATCAGACAATCTGCCAGCTTCAGAACTGTGAGAAACGCAGTTCTCTTGTTTTTATGTGGCCCAGTGTGTGAGAGTTCGTTGTACCAGCCCAGACAGACTAAGCCAGCTAGGCAAGGAGAGTGCCAGCAGCACAGACCTGTCCAGGTGAGCCCCGAACCCAAATTCCACAGTCCTTGAGGATGTGACACTAGGACGTCCTCACAGAGTCCCCGTCTTACAGAACCGTACATGCAATTTATGGGCAATCAGGCAAAAACTGTCAAAATATTTATGTTTAAGATGCTTAAAAAGATAAGTTAATACATGTGTGAGCAGATTATCCATCAAAACCAGACAGAAGTAAAATAAGAGTGGGTCAGTAGAACCAAACTAAGAATGACAAGCTAGTAAATGAGAAAGTTATTTATTCACTAGGATGATAGACTCTGGACTGGGCACAGTCAAAGGCAGAATTAGTGAATTGGCAGTTACTTTTACAATTGATGTGGATTACAGGTACAGGGGGACAAAGTGATAAAAATTCAGCACACTTCATTCAGACAGTCCCAGAACCAGTACTGCCCTTAACTTCATGGTTATGTGAATAATAATTTGCCTTTTTAAGTTAAACTAGGTTGAGTCCCTTTTTTCCCACTTGCAATGGAAGAATCTTTTGAATCTTACAGTCATCACTGTCCCTCAGACCGTTGGAGGGCCCGGGACAAGTCGGCTGCTAAGCAGGACAGGCAGCGGTGGCAAAAACACCCAGTGGGCTGGATAAATGTCCTAGGCGGGCGGGACGCCTGCTTTAAGGAGAAAAAAGGAACCTATTTACATATATAAATAATATATATAAATTCACAGGGACAGAAAGCACGTGGGGCTGAAGGCAGCGGGGCGAGCATGATGGCTAATGTGTGACAAAAACCCTTTGGGACCAGACAGTGGCAGTGGTTGCCCAATATTGTGAACATGCTAAATGCTGCTGATCTGAGCACTTAAAACGATAACTTTTAGGTTATGTAAATTTTACCTCAGTTAGAAAATAAAACCCCAAACAACCCAGGTGGGACTCCTCGGCAGGCAGGTGAGAGAGAAGGGAGCAGGCCCAAGCTGCTCTCTGCAGACTCCTGGGAGATGGGGAAGACCCCAGGGAGGGTGCTGGACCCTCCCCACCCTGGCCCCAGGCGCTGGCCTCTCCGGCCCGATATTTTCATGGTCCACCAAGAACTCTCTGAGTCCGGGCCTGGGCTCCCCACAAAAAGGGGCCCTTCGTGCCCTAGGCCAGCAAGACCCTGCCCTAGCAAGGCCTCCCCTAGAGGAAGAGGGACACAGGAACCCGAGAAAGTCCCACAGCCTGTGCTGCGGGGTTCCTGCAGGAAAACCCAATCCTGTGCCCACGCCCGTCCCATCATCAAAGGTACAGGGTTCTTTGCACATTTGCAAAAACCAAACACATCCAAACTGGCTGTGCTTAAAGGTCTGCCTGCGTGGTGTCACCCCTCAAGGGAATGGGCCTTCCTTAACGATGCCTGGAAGGCGCAGGAATGAATGTGGGAAGTGCAGTCGGCAGAAACCCAGACCCAGGGCATCCTGAACGCTCCCCTGGGCCGATGCCACCACCCCCGCACTGCCTTGTGGCTCCTGTGGCCAGTTGTGGTCGCTTTTAACACCTGTGCTCCTTTTTTCCAAAACAAAGCCGGCCAGCCCTCTCCCTGGGGCCACAGGCGTGTTCTGGCTGGACCCGAACTGCAGGTGCCACAAATACCAGGCAGGGGCCCCGGAAGACAGTGGACACGCAGGGGAAAGCAAGCAAAGCAGCCTGCAACCTGGAGGGTCTAGAGGAGGCGTCCTTAAACTACGGCCCACGGGTCACATGGTGGCCTGCCGAGGACATTTATCCAGCCCGCCGGGTGTTTTTGCCGCCTTTGCTTGTCCTGCTTAGCAGCCAACTCGTCCTGGGGCCCACAGTCTGCCCTCCAGCGGTCTGAGGGACAGTGAACTGGCCCCCTGTTTAAAAAGTTTGAGGACCCCTGTTAATTAGATGATCTGACAGTCAACTAGAGGGGATTTCCAGAGGAAGTGTAAATCAGGGTATTTAGTATGATTAACATTGGTACAAATGAAAGAAGTCACTGAAACTTAAGAAAGAAGATGAACTTGAAGGGAGAACCTGGAAGGAGACCTGGTGATGAAGAGTAGAGCCTCCACAGCTGACCACCTCTTTAGGCTCATCTAATTTTCATAGGCCTGACACGCACCACACAGATGTACCAGTTCCTCACATTCAGCCTCTGATGCTGCTCTCCAGCGAGGTGCAGCAGCGGGCCTGCCTGGTCCCCCTGTGACAGAACCACCACAGTTCTCTCCCGCTCTCTGACCACTAGACAACTGTGAAGCCCCACAAATGTTCTGTTGTCTTTAATAGTAACAGGATAATTACAAACCAGTTCAGTCAAATTGTGGCTCCTTCTAAGGAATAGTTCTAAAGTCAGTGTTTGAGATTTGTTCTCACTCCAAGAGGGCTGTCCTGTAGTCTGGGCTGTGTCTTCATTAAACCCATGAATCTCCCCCTCCCTAGTTTCCTTTCACCAGGACCTACACTGTCCTCGAATGCACCCCTAGGTTTAAACTTCACTGAACTCTGTTGCAAATAAAGTTAGTGCCTATGGGAAGAACTTAGGAACTATCCCTTTCTCTACCTGTTTCTCCTCCCAGGGAAAATCTCTGAACCAGGGTTCTGAAGCTGAGATGGAGTCAGTGGCAAGCTTCTGTGTGCATTGTGGAGCACTGGGACAGCTGGGGCACAGAGGATCAGAGCCCCAGTATTTTCAGCGTACCACCCCCAAGGTTGAGCTTCTTCTAGAGTGGAGGGTGGGCACAGTAGGAAGCTCTCAGCCTCGCCTACATTAGCCGTGATGTAGCATCAGCACCTGGCAGCTGGGGCAGCGCAGGAACCACTGAAGTCTTACTGGGAGCTGGAGGGAGAGGGGTCCTGAATTGTTGTTCTGGAGGACAGGGGGTCCTTGTTATTGGTCTAGGGGAAGAGAGGCCCTGCGGCGTAGTAAAGGTTACTTTGAGTTGCAATGGATTAATTTATGAATGTGTTTTAAACATACTACCTGTTTATAAGCTGATTTTATTAGAATTACCTAATTTAACCATTTTTCCCATCTTGAATGTCTGATTATTTGTCAGGGTAGCGTTTATCTCTCCTTTGTCTTTTAAAGAAAAGATACTTAATACATAAAGGAACATGGCAGATGGTTTTACTTATTTCAGAGGAGTTTTGTTCCATTGACAAGCTGGCAGGAGGACGTGAATTCAGCTTATCTGGTGTCTGTGTGGGTGCTGGACCTTGCAGTCAGAGCCTATCACAGTGGAAAAGAGGAGAAGCTGCTCCTTCCCAGTTGTGTTCTCTCGGAACTCTTCTGCTCGTTTGAAGAGATGAGTCTTGCCTTTCTCCCTACATAGGCTTACCAGCATTTGTGGGAAGCCCATTTTTTTTTTTTTTTTTTTTTTTGAAATGGAGTCTTGCTCTGTTGTCTAAGCTGGAGTGCCATGAAGCTCACAGCAACTTCAAACTTCTGGGCTCAAGTGATCCTCCCACCTTGGCCTCCTAGAGGGCTAGGATTACAGGCATGAGCTACCACACCCACCCCATTTTTTATTGTTAACTTTAGAAGTTTAATTCTGGCTGAAAGGGGTACCATCTGTCATTTTCCCAGGGGACTCTCAGTGGTCTTCCCTAGAAGATACTTAGCACAGATAGACAAGGAGGCCAGGATATAGTGGTGGCCCCTAGACATTCTTTCTTTTACTCTCTTCAGCAATTCTAGTTTATTTGTCTGTGAGTCACTTAAAAATGTCTTCATTCACTTCATATCAAGGTTCCTTTTATAAAAATATGTGGATTGCTCTGGCCATTGAGAAGGTGACTTGGATTCCCCTTTGTCCCCTGCCGTCAGATTAAGCTGGGTTCTGATTTATTGGGTACTCCGTGTGATCTTAGGCCAGTCTGTTGCTCCCCTGTCTCTGGGATCACAGAGGTCCCTTACATTGTGTGATGGGGTTGCCTTTGTGTGAAGACCATAGAGGCTTGATGGAAGTCTGTCATGATTCAATTACTTTTGCTATTTTCTAGGAGTTTGCAGCACTTACTAAAGAACTCAATGTATGCAGAGAACAGCTCCTTGAAAGGGAAGAAGAAATTGCTGAACTGAAAGCAGAAAGGAACAACACCAGGGTTAGTAGGTGGATCTTACTTTTTACCATTTGCCTCGTGTCAGTACTGGGATCCATGATGCTGTCTTAGAAGAAAAGATGGTGCACAGTGTGGCTTTAAATACATCCTGGTTTCTACTGAGTAGACTGTGGTTGATTGGTTCAGCATTATCATACATGGTAGAGCCTCTGGAAGTTGACCACCAGAGGACTAACACACCTGTCGACATATGGAAGTGGTCAACATAAGGAACTAGGCCTGTTGTACTGATACGTATATGTAGTACTTGTCTGGTCTATGAAAATTAGATCGCCTTGGGAAGGTCAGGCAGTCATCAACTGTGGCCAGATGAGGGGACTCATGCAGTCTCTACCCAAAATAGAAAAATTAGCTAGGCATTGTGGCATGTGCCTATAGTCCCAGCTACTTGAAATTTGAGATGAAAATTAATGCTATTTTAATATATCGGGGGGAATTTCTGTAATCTACTGAATGGAAGGCATTCAGACTTCTTTAGCCATGATATTGTAAAGGAGCTGTTAGCCCCAAGTTCAAGTATGAAATTTAAAGTGCTCTTTCAGTGTGTTTTTGTTGTTGGCCTTTTCTTTCAGCTGCTGTTAGAGCATCTGGAGTGCCTTGTCTCTAGGCACGAGCGGTCCCTCAGGATGACGGTGGTGAAGAGACAAGCTCAGTCTCCAGCAGGCGTGTCCAGCGAAGTTGAGGTGCTTAAAGCACTGAAGTCATTATTTGAACACCACAAAGCTCTGGACGAAAAGGTGCCATCAGCCACGTGACAAGTCTTGGTTTGTGTACATGCTGGGTGTTAGGCCTCATATATGTTTGTAGAACCTTTCTTTTTGGAGCTGCTTAAATTTCTGCCAACGTATTTTCTCTCTAAGATAAAAAGGTTGTATATCATCATCAAAAAATAACTAATTGGCATAAATACCTTAAAATTGATTAATTCTGTAGATTGAATGGCTGTTAGGAATTGGGTAATCTGGCTGGGTGCCATCCTAGCACTCTGGGAGGTGAAGGTGGGAGGATCTCCTGAGCTCAGGAGTTTTGAGACCAGCCTGAGCAAGAGAGAGACCCCATCTCTACTAGAAATAGAAAAACTAGCTGGGTGTGGTGGTGGGTGCCTGCGGCCCCAGCTGTTCAGGAGGCTGAGGTTGGAGGATCACTTGTGCCAGGAGTTTGAATTTGCTGTGAGCTGAGCTGATGCCCTGGCACTCTTAACCCGTGCAACCGAGTAAGACTTATCTCAAAAACAAAACCAGTATATAAATATGTACACACACGTGCAGACTGAACACCTTTTGTTTTCAGGTGAGAGAGCGATTACGAGTAGCACTTGAAAGGTGTAGTTTGTTAGAAGAAGAATTAGGTGCCACACACAAAGAGGTAAGCTGGAGATGTCATCTGATTTGAATTGAGAGGTTTTACTTTTATCCCTAAATTTAAAAAAAGTCCTAATACGTGGATGTTCTATCAGATATTATTTATCTTTTTGCCTAAGGATCATCCTATGCAGGTCATCTTAAGTCCTAGTAAACCAGACTTTTATTTCTTAAGTACCCATCAGTACAGTAGATAAGAACTTCCATTTCTGATGATCTGGTTATATTCAGGTTGGGTAGCGTTGTCCATGCTTTCTTCTTATGTAGTGTTTTACCAGTTGATAGTTGTTTTTCCAAAAGGAGTTTTGCTGTCTTATTTCTCTTAAGTAAAGTATTTTACTTTCATGTTCAATTTTTTGGTTTTAGTTAATGATTCTTAAGGAACAGAATAATCAGAAAAAAACACTAACAGATGGAGTGCTTGATATAAACCATGAACAAGAAAATACACCCAGTACAAATGGAAAGGTAAGTCTTAGGCTTTCTCTTTATTCTAACTTCCTTTGTCCCCAGTGTGCCTGTCGGGTGTTTGGGAAGACTGAGGCGACAGCATGAAAGTGTGTCATCCAATAGTTTGCAGAAATCAGCTTTGGTTTCCCCTGTTTTCTGAAAGTATTTTGTTTCATAGCAAACCAAACATGCTATTTAAGGACTTTTTTCCCTGCCAGAGATCTTCTGATGGTTCTTTAAGCCACGAGGAAGACCTTGCTAAGGTAATCGAGCTCCAGGAAATCATCAGTAAGCAGTCACGGGAGCAGGGCCAGATGAAAGAGCGCCTGGCCGCGCTCTCCAGTCATGTGACAGAGCTGGAGGAGGATCTCGACACTGCTCGGAAAGATCTCATCAAATCTGAAGAAATGAACACAAAACTGCAGCGTGACGTCCGGGAAGTGAGTGACAATAGAAGCTGCAGTATTGTCATCAAGTGGAACGTGTGGGGTGTTTTGGCTAATTGAATTTTTTTTTTTTTTTGGTTCTTTCTGTCCCTTACCCTCCCAATGTTACTTTCGATCTTTGCATTATTGTATAAATAATATCTAAAAAGAGATTTCTAGGAGACCGTGTTAGGCTGCCTCCCCATTTTTGTGGTGAAATCACCTGTCCCTGGGGTCTTTAGAGGTAGAGAGCAGTTCCCACACCCTATTGCCCCTGTGTGTAGATGCTTCATCTCTACAACTTCTAGCTGTCTTACTTTGTTCTTCTTTGTTCAGATTTCCTTCTGACACACACTTGTTTAGTGGCAGGTGCTGATACTGGCTGTGCTACGAGCGTAGTCCTGGCCTGTGTCAGGGTGTCATCAACACTCTCCTAGTTTCCTGACTTCTTCTCTCACAGAATGTGTGGTGACATCAGCAGTCAGGATCATGATGGAAACAAATGTTGAAGTAGAGTAGAACCACCACAGCTGACCACCTCTCTCTGTTGACCACCTCCTTCAGTTGACCTCATTTTCATAGACTGGACATGTGCCGCATGTTCTTATGTTGACTACCGTAGTTGGCTGGTTTGTTACAGTCTCTTGGGTGGTTATCTTACAGAGGTTTTCCTGTATGTTCATTTCTGACAGACATTTCTGCCTTTATCTATGCGAAACTAGTCATGAAAGAAATGAGGGCTGAATGTTTTCTCTGGTGCTTCTGTGACTCACTCACTTGTCCTTTGTTGCCCCATGAGACCCTCTTGCCACATGTTGGTAGCCCAGTGTGAGAATTCAGAGCAGCTGTGTTTGCATGTGTTATATAACCTTATAGGTTAAATTATTTGGCTACAGTAGGAGATTATGTGGCAGAGATCAATAATGCAGATTTTGAAATAATTTATTTTAAGACCTATCACTTGTAACGTCGAGACTTCGCTAACAGTCACTTAGTAAAGAAGGAAGGACCTAAAAGTGGTGAATTGCACAGCATATTTCAGGTTTTGTGCAAGCAAAACCCTACCCTTTAGGGCAGTGTTTTTCAGTCTTTCTTATCTCATGGTGCACTTGAGCCTATAATTAAGGCACACCAAAATTATGTAGATCAGAAAAAAGAGTAAAAAAAAGAATATGTCATTGCACTTTGAACTTCTTTCAAAAATAATTTAATTAATGATCCTTAAATTTTCTCAGTACACCTAAGGTCCTCTCATGGCATACCGATTGAAATCACTGCTCTAGGGGTTGATACGCTGTAGGATTGACTTTATTTTGCTACAGATATTAAGTGGTTCCATCTGATTAAATTAAACTTCTGTGGCTCGGCGCCTATAGCTCAACTGGCTAAGGCGCC